AGGAGGATTGCTTAATCTTCGAGCACCCCAGATTAATAATTATTTTTATAATTAAATAACTGCCAGGAAAAACAACAACAACATATCTCATTGGTGGTAGTGTCCAGGGTCACTGATGAGGAGTGGAATTCTCCGAAACTAGTCTGGCTCACAAATACACACACCCATTGAAAACATATGTGACCATGAGTTTTTGTATTAAAATGTTGCGTCTTAACCAATGACAGTTAATCTTCATATAAATAATAGGAAAACATTAGAGATTAAAGTAGATTTCCAAAATGCATCGCTCTTATTTCTACAATATAAGGCCTGGCATGGGTTGGCTTGGTGGTAAGGGTGCTCGAATACCAACCTGCAGGTGGTGGGATTGAAACCCCTCACCAAACATACTTGTTCTTTCAGCCATGTGAGCATTTAAAGTGGCGGTCAATCCCACTATTTTTTGGTATAAAGTAGTCCAAGCGTAGGCTATAGGTGGTGTTGATTAGCTGACTTCCCTCTAGTCTATCACTTCAAAAGCAGAGACGACTAGCGCAGACAGCCCTCGAGTAACTTTGCGCGAAGTTCAACAAATCTTTGTTTGTTTTGAATTTCGCGGTAAGCCATCCCTAATTTAGCAGTGTAAGACTAGAGGGAAGACAGCTAGTCATCACCACTCACCGCCAACTCTTGGGCTACTATTTTACCAACGAATAGTGGGATTGACCGTCACATTATAATGCCCCCACGGCTGAAAGGGCGAACATGTTTGATGTAACGGGGATTCGAACCTGCGACCCTCAGATTGCGAGTCGAGTGCCCTAACCACCTGGCCATGCCATAGTTTAACAAAGCAAAGAAAGAAAAATATAATTTCAGTAAAAGAAGTTTTAGACTTATAAATTCATTATTTATTCAACAGATTATAACTTAAATAATACATTTGTGGTTTTTACATCATGTACAAAATATGGCATAATATGTTTACTCATTTTTATATTGTTTTATTATAAGAAGTCTATCGATATTAGTGCACACGTTTATTGTTTCTTTCCTAAACATTCCATTGTATTTAATTTTCAGTACAATAAAAATAACTTTAAATTAAAAATTGTTAGGCTTAAACAAAAAATTAAGAAAAGGAAAGAATGCCTTTCTAGGTCACACAAAAAAAATTTTCAATCGTTTGATTAAACTGAATGTTTTAGAAGCTTTTATAGTGTGTTTTTTGTTCCTTAGAGGTTAACTTCGTTTATAAATTCAAATTGCTAAAGGTTAAACAACTTTTTCAAGATTATGAAATTCCAGGTAACCAAAAAACATTAATTTAACTTTGAAATTACAGAGGTTCAATTCTAATTGTAGGTTGGGTAAATGGGGCAACAGAGTTAGTCCCATGTATTATTCATGAAAGAGGTAAAATTGGAGAACACTAAGTATAATGTATATGGCAAAATTGCACCTTGTGCGACACGTGAGCTAAACCGGATTCGCGCATCGTGGTCCCTGGTTTTGATCTGCTAGTCAGAGGTAGTGCAACCAGTCAACAGCATCTCTCACATACACAGTTGCTCTTAACCGAATAGCGTGAATGGCTGTCGTTTTTATAACGCGCCCACAGCAGTAAGTGCAGAGCGTGTTTAGTGGCATATCGCGAACTCGAGCCTTGGACCTTTCGATCCGCAGCCCGGGTTATGCTAGTCATAGGTCACGCCTAGCCCATGGTAATTATCCTAATTTTATTAAGGTGTAGTCATAGTTTTACTTACAGTAAATCATTATTTTACTGCAGCTGTCATCATAACTTAATTAATGTAATTGTTACAAGTTCATCTAAGTCATCCTAACAAATTAGTTAATTTTATTAAAATATGAAACTTACACACGATTAAGAAGTATCAGAATATCCACCAGAGACAGTTTCTTGGATTTAGCCAAGAATATTCTATAGTACTATTATTTATTAATTACTTTGCTTTATTACTGTCGACTAAGGACCACAATGAAAAGTTTGATAAGTAAGATCATAGTAAATTTGAATATTATGTTAATTAACATCATAATTTTGATACAGTTACTCAGAAAACTGGACTATGTAGACCATTATCCACAACACAACCAGAAAATTGTTTATCTATAGGTTTGGCTAAATCATAAGATACATTCTTCGAGACTGAATCAAATGTCCCCAGCCGTAACTGAACGCCATATCAATGTATACGCAACTAAAAACAGACTTCACAGGGCACAAAATACTCGTCTTCAATGGCCCCAAGAAACTTCCAGTGGGACAAACAAACACAAGTAAAGATATTTGGAACAATATTATTTTTTACTTACAGATGAGTCGCGCTTTACTCTGTAATCATATAATAGGCAATTTATGTTAATTATAAAACTTTTCATTGTGTTCTGTGACAAAGCAAAGTAATTAATAAATTAACAGTATTATAGAATCTTATTTACTAAATCCAAAAAATCTCCCTAGTGGATATTCTAATACTTCTTAATTATGTTTAAAGGTCAGTCTCATGTATCTTTTTTTTCTGAGTTTTTCCGCTCGTTACTAATGGTCTCCAACCCAATTAAATATGAATATGTAATATAGTAATTAGAGGTTTATTTGAATAGCGCCCAAAGGAGTATGGAGACGAAAATAATTAACTACAAATGTGTGTATATATATATATATAATTAAATAATTATATATGTACAACGTAACTAAAATCCCTCTTCTCTGAACAAGTTTGTTTGTTTGTTTGTTTG